TTGCAATTTGTGCCGGGCACAATTTTTTTTTTAATTCAAAGCAAAAGCTGAAGCATGACGGGGATGATAGTGTCTCCGGAGGGCTGCGTGAACTCATTTGTAGGAAGCGCCGAAAGGGACAGAAACGTCCCCCCTGCATGCAGACAAAAGACTGCTTTTGATTAGGAATGAATCCCGAAGCGAGAAAGAATCGCAAAGCAGACCCACACTCCCGGGGCGAGTGGACGGCGACGGGCCGCGCCCTCCATGCAGCGCGATTCAACCTCTAAAAAAAAGGGGGGGGGGGGGAGGCGGTGCTGTTAGTACCTTCTTGACCCGCTGGATCATCGGCTGCAGCCAATCGGCGTTGACCTCGCAGTGGCTGTCCCAGAAGGTCAAGATGGAGGCCGAGGCCGCGTTGGCTCCGCGCACCCGCGATCGGATCAGACCTGGGGGGCAGAGCAGGAGGGGGGGGGGGATGACACACGGACGGAGCAGAAACACAGAGCGAAGCTCCGCTTGGAATCAATTTCCCCTCCAGGTTCTGTCTGAAGGCCTTTATTTGGTGCACACGAAGCCTTTTGAAATGGAGCTGGATAATTGGATAATCAGTAAGATGCCAGAACGTGTCTCCCTTTTGGCCCCTACCCCCTCCGACCCCCCCAACCCCCATTATACACAGACTGCTTGTGAGAAAGGGTTTTAATGTGGAGTCAAATCTATTTTAAAGCGGAGCGAGTGAAGAAGGGAGTGAAGGTGTCTCCGCTCATCAGAAGCGTGTCTGCAATCACAGTCATTAGCATTCAGCGCAGACAAGTGGGGAGGAGGTTCACTTCAGGGGGGGGCCGGGGGGGTCTGCAACGTCTCCGGTTAATTAAACAGATGCGTCTCATCAACTGAAGACTTTTGTTCCGGATTCAAAGGTTGTTGTAATAACAGAGACACGGGAAGCTGAAGATAATTGTGTTTTTGTTTTTTAGAAAGGGACGACAAGGAGCCTCGAAGTCTGACTTTCTGCTAATTATTTCCCAGCTTAATTAAGCTTTTTCTTTAGTTCCCCACTTGAGCAGCTCATGGGATCAGCAGGGGCAAGAAAATAGATGTATTTGTGTTACACAGATTTGTTATCATAAAGCTCCGTTCAGTCCAATCGCAGCATTTGCTGCTGTTTTTGTGTTTTATTTATTATCAAATATCTTTGGGTTTTGTCCAGTCGGGACAGAACAACCTCTGAATACTTAGATGAAAATATCTGTATTTGTTGGCTTAAAAAGAAAAGTGATCATTTTTCAATTTGAACAATTACGAGACCATTTATTGATTGATCAATTGACATAAAAACACTTTTGGTTCTAGCTTCTCGAGTCGGACTATATGTGGTTTTTCATTTCATTTTAAAGTTAATATTTACTTGAGATGGTTTATGCTCACTATTCTTATACGAGATGACTGAGTTACTTGGTACACATCAAAAAACGAATGATTGGAGCAGCAAAGAACACTGTGAGCGAATCTATTTAATGAATTATTATTGACTCATCATTTGCATCATCGTACCTTCTCTCCTGCCGTTCCTCAGGCAGCGCACCTTGGGGACCTGAGAGAGCAGCTGGCAGTCCTCAGCTGGAGGAGGAGAGCGGAGGAGGTGTTAGGGAGGATCACGCCACCTCAGCGAGCAGCCTCACCCAATAAACAAGACGAAAGAATAAGGAACCACGAATAAACAAAACGCGGAGCGAGCCGCTCGTTCCCGTCGCCGATGGACGTCCTTACAAACAACACAGCAAATGAATGTAAACACACACACACACACACGCATCCCCCCCTCCTCCAACACAGCGATACGGAAACAAGCACGAGGACGTGTAATCCTCCTTCATTACATCCGCTGTGTGTACGAACGCGTTTGTTGGCATTTAAGCCGAGTGTGTAAGTTCTCTAGTGGTGCTCATAAGGAGGAGACAGCTGGTGTGTGTGTGTGTGTGTGTGTGTGTGTGTGTGTGTGTGTGTGTGAGCTTGCATACATTCTGTGCGCTCCGTATTAATCATGACCTTTGTGTCGACGCAGCGGCCGAGACTAAATTAAGTGCAATTCAGGACGCCGGACGCCGTGCCGACCTTCACAGACTGGATGCGGGACGTGAACGAGCTGATCGCTTCCTGTCAGTGCAACAACTTGACGGGACAACCTGCACATTGTGTCTGAGGGGGGGGGGGGGCGTATTCCACGCGTCCCATGCCGTCGTCTGGCTGTGAAGATCCCTGCACTGAGGACGGAGCCCTTATGGTGAAGGCGAGCCGCGGTGGGATTAAACCACCGACCAATCAGCTCGCACTCTCACTGCCTCAGCTGACCGCTTATCTCCCTCCCAACAACTAACACCTCTGTTGGCGCTGCGCCGTCCGAACGTGCGTCGTCCTTCATCCGTTGGGCCTTAGACGTGAAAATGCAATGGAAGAATCTCTTGTTCGCTTGTGATTTGTAAGTCGTGTGACCAATCGACGGGGCCGTATTTTGGAAAAAACAACCTCACGGATAGAAGCGAGCCGAAAGTGTGGTGAAACACAGCTCACGTCGTGCAGTGATTTGAGGTGTTGGAGGACATGATGGACATGAGGCTGCCGGTTCAACGGGAGCTCAGGTGGAGCGAGGCATTAGTGAGCTGTGCTAAGATGCCTGACCAGCTCCTCAATGTGTGTGTGTGTGTGTGTGTGTGCGTGCGTGCACGGTGAATGTAGGTCAGACAGAGGAGTGCATGCGGTGGCATGAGCTCGTATAATAACATGATACTTGTGTCTAACGCTCACAGCGGGGGGGATAATTACTCTCAAACGGCGCCGTCCTCTAAAACCCACCGACCTGGAGACGCGAGCTTCACGCTGCCGTCAGCTGATTTGTTTGTCTGTCAGGGCCAATTAGACCACTAATTAAACTAAAGCACGGCGGGACGGCTTCTGCTCATTCCTGCTGCCCGTTGCTGGTGAAGTTTATTCCCTCGGCAGCGTCGCCGAACCTGACGTGATTAGTGAGGAAATCCTCCAGAAGCTCCCGTGTTCCGCGTCTCGTATTCTGTGGCATCTCATCGTCAAAGCAACGCCGGCCTCCTGATATCCTCCTCGTCCCTCCCTTTTCCATTTGAACTTGTCATTTGTAGGAATCGTTTTAACATTTAATTGATTCACCCTATCTCCACAAGTGATGGTAAATAGTTAACAAGTCTAATATTTACTCTTATTTTAACCCTGAGGGAATATTTGTCGCTTTGGAGGAGAGCTGATTGCTGTGGTATTATAATAAATTCTCATTATTGCCGAATAAGACTTGTTGTGTTTGAGAAAGGAATTAAAGTAAACACAGATTTCCCCGTGAAAAAAAGGGAAATAACAGAAGAGGAACTCACAATCCGAGCTGAAGTCGTCTATGAGGATGATCTCCTGGATGAGCGAGGCCGGGCTTCGCGTGAGGACGCTGGGACGGACAGACAGAATCAGGAGTCATAGGCGTCCTCGCTGGGACTCGCTGTGTGTGTGTGTGTGTGTGTGTGTGGGCGCGTGACCTCGCTGACCTTTTGATGGTGCGCAGCAGGGTGGAGCGCGCCTCGTTGTGGAAGGTGATGATGACGCTGGTGGAGGGGAGGTCCGCGTCGTAGTTCACGGAGGCGCACCTTTCAGGGGGGGGCGAGGGGAGGAGAACGCGTCACACAGGTTGTGGATCCGACATAAACGGCTTTCACGTGAACGGAGGCCTTTAACGGGGGGGGGGCGGGGCCTCCGGGCGCTCACCTGTAGTGCCGCGTGTCCCGGATGGCTCGCTCGCCGCCCAGCCGGTCGCTCTCCTGCAGGTTGAACGCGTGTTCTCGGTAGGGGTCGTCCCCCGGCTTCAGCTGCTTCCCCGCCAGGTAGGCCTTCTCGTCGAAGGCGCCCAGCAGCTGGCCCTGCTGCTCGGCCCGCGGGGGCTGGCTCACCTGCGGGGGACACGGCCGGGTGTGTTTAAGGGGAGCGAAGGGTTATGAAAGGACAACGCGTTGCAGGTAAATACACAGCGGGTTGTTTTTGGCGTCAACACTTTTCAACAAATCTATGATCACGTCGTCGTCCACCTGAATGGGTTCCTTCATTTGACGTTTTAACTGTCCGTCAAAACCGACATTCATTTTTTAAACACCGCTGGCGTTTTTTAACGAAGTGCAAAAATCTTTTTCAGCATAAAAAACATGTTAAAAGAAATTAAACACAATTATTGTTCAATTCATTGAGCCCTTCAGAAATCTCTTTTGCTGTTGATTTGATCTGGACTGCATTTAATGATTCAACTAAATGGTTAATGGTACCTGGACCCACGTGGAACAGTTCCTCCCCACCATCCACCACCCACCAAGCAACGATGGGGTGGAAGCAGCGGAGAGAAAAGGAGGCCGACGCTTTGTTAGAGGTCGGTGTAGCCGGAGGATTTATAAAAAGCTCGTGACCAAGTTCAGGTGGGAGTGACCTCGTTCTCGGCCCCTCCGGAGGGGCGGGGGGGGGGGTACCCACACACAGACGTGTCCGCAGTGCCAGACGGACGTCGATAGCGCTGCGTTACCTGCAGAGACCAAAGCTCGAGGCCAGTGGGGGGGAAAGCAAATAAGTTCTCAACGCGATGTGGAGCTTCTCCGGGTGAATCTGCTTCATACTAAAATACATCAGAACTTTATTTACTTTTGTATCCATGAGTATTTCTACACAGCGTCACGTCTTCTTCTGCATTAGTGACGTGTAACTGGGAGCTGTGACCTTCCAGTTCAGATCACAAAGCGTCCCGGAAGGAGCATCTGCTGCTACGGCACGCGGCCAGAAAGCATCCGAGCTCCTCTGTGGCAAAGGGCCGTCACACACGTCCCTCTGCAGCCAACGGCCGTTTGCAGAGCGCCGCTAATCAGCTCTTTTTTTCTTGCACAGCTCTGGGATCAGCAGGTCGTGTAACTGTTATAAAAGCCACGACGACCCGCTTGCACCGGTCACTAAAGGAAAGGACGGTAAATGTTTGTTGTCCAAGTCAGGACGATTTAAGCAAATAAAGAACAAGCTGGTATTCGTCCCGCGCTGCAGCAAAAGGACGACGGCGACAACTATGAAGCCTTTACAGAAGTATTATGTATATTATTACATACATTTTTTCAACGATAACTTCTATTTCTCTCACACGAGCCATTTGAGGTTTTCACTGCTTTTCATGGCTCTCTTTCCAGAAGCGTGTACTTCGTATCCCTCGGTGATCGACAAGTATCATCACGACTAAATATTTAAAGCCGTGAAAAAAAAAGAAAAAAAAAAGGAGACAGTGAAGAAGCAGCCAGACGCTCGGCCCGGTGAATTAAACATGAAGCTCGTCTGGAAGACGAACACGTTCAAGGGGAATTCAAAGATAAATCACATACAAGTCAAATGTGCCTGAATCCTCGTGGTGATCACAGATTTATAAATCTCACGCCGAAGGTCCTGGATTCACGTGTGCAGATGCACCAACGCAAGCTGGACAAAAACACCGGGAACTTACAAGCTGCTCCATTGGGAATAAAAGGAGAAAAGTGTTTGTTATTTTCTAGTTTCATTCCACTCGGTTTCAAAACAACTTCCCGCCGACATTCAAAAATCTCCTTGACACACTTTAAACCAGAAAAGGGACCAATTCTAAGATATAACGAGGTCGAAAAACAAAGATTTATTTAGAATGAAGGAGGCTTTTTTATTTGTGCACTCAGAGGATCTGAAAAACAGTTTCTATTTACTCTCCATGTCAAATAAATAGTATTATTGCATTGAAATAATTAAACAATGGCAATAATTGAAGTTGAAATGCCTAAAGGGAACGATGTGCTTGGGTACAACAGGGTTACCGTGCCGACCCAATGATGTTCTACGTTGTAATACTGTGTTGTGGGAAACATAATCCGGCTTCAGACATAATTCTCTGGTGAAGTCTTCATGTTTCTGTGTCTTGTTGATTCAAAAAGATTGTTGCACAACTACTTGGGGAAAAAAAAAAAAAGACTGCGCAATAAAACCAGCGGACACACCCAGATCTAAAGCCCGTGGATCCGAAGGACACAGACCCACTGAAGTCACACTAAACCACCATCTGTCATCAGACACCGGCTGGACGAGGACGTCCACCGTGGACGCGCAGCTCGCAGAGACGGCTGATTGGCGTGGATGTCTCACTTGGAGGCGACGTGCACCCAGTGCAGAGAGATTTCACAGATGATGTCATTAGTGAATCAAACGCTGCTGACGAACGGGCTTTGGGGGGAAAAGAAGGAGGGAGAGAGAAGAGACGGAGGAGAGAAAAATAAAGAGGATCAGGATGGAAGGGAACGAGCACAGAGGAGTAAAGAGCGTCGCAGAGGGGGGAGAAAAAAAAGGGCATGAAGGAAATGAAGGATGAGGGAGACAGAGGGAGAAGAACAAAAGAAGGGGGAGAAGCGGAGCCCTCCGGTGAGGCCTCGGGGTCCTTTGTGCACCGGCCGTGTCCAGCTGTTGGACTCACATTACCGGAGCAACGCACACACGCGAGGCCTTCGGCTTGGTGGCGAAGGGGAACGACCCCGCCGGGGCTCCACCTGCACGCCAAAGCCCTCACGGTTCAGAGGCGTGTGGCGTGTGGCGGCGCTCCCGCCACGCAAAGAGCTTCCACGCCTGTTCGTTGAATAAAACTCTATTGGACTCTATTAGCACAAGGGACATTTTTCAATACCTTGTGATCATTGTTGGTTGTTCAGTCAATACAAACATTTGATTTTGATCCAAAGTTCAACCCTCCGACCAACAGGACAAATAATACAGAACAGCAGCAAATCGGAACCACAAAGAAACTTCAGTTCCGGCTCGACGACATGACTTGAATCCTTGTTGACTAGAAGATGAGATCCATAATGTGTCAGCACAGGAGTCTTCTTCACCGAAGGACCCTGCAGCCAGGTGCACCACATCGCCTAATCTCACCTGGCATGGAGCCAAACACACACACACACACACACACACACACACACACACACACACACACACACAGTGTGTTGCAACCAGTGCACCTCGGGTGACAGCATTTACCGGAGGTGGTGCACCTCCACCCGGGAGAAGACATCGGACCTGACAGAAGCAGGCCTCTCGTGACTGTTTGTCACACCTCGCGCGCGTGATCCAAGAAAGCCGCCCGCACGTAAGAGGCGTTTGCGCACGACGCGTCGGACTTACGGAAAGCCTCTTACGCGTGCGTGAGGTTCTCGCGGGCTCGTGGAGGGACACTGGGGGGTGAGGTACGTGGCCGCGCGGCGGGAGGTTCGTGAGACCACCGTGATGCGCGTTAAGGCCAAAACGTGTCCGCGCACAATGAGCATAATAATAATAATTCCACCCCCCCGCTGTGACAACCCAGATGCGCGTCCTCAGCACCACCACCACCACCACCCTCATCACCCCAAGGACACACACACACACACACACCCACACTTTTTCATTAAAATGGGATGGGCCTGTCGTCCCGGTGGATCTCAAGCCGAACGGGGGGCACTTTCTGGCCATGGCCACCCCGGCCGCGGGTCTGCGAGGCCGACGACGAAAGCGACGAACACTACGACCACTGCGGCTTGTTGTCCTGCCACAAGTGATAAAACGTCCTCGCGATCCACGCGACCGTTAGAAAGGAGATTGGCGTTGGCCCATATTCGGCGTATGGTGAGCCCATACGCGGAGGGCTCCGCAGACGAGCCCGGCTGAGGTTCAGGGTTCTCGTGCGCGCGCACGGGGGTGCTGCAGAACACTCACCGGCCCCCCCCCTCCCTCCCTCCCTCCTCACCCTCCCTCTCCCCTCCCCTCTCGCCGGTGGATGCGTTGAGTCTCGGGCAGCTGCGGACGCAAACAGCGTCTGTCTCCTCCGCGCACAGCCGCGCACCGCCGCCTCCACCCGGAGCCGCGCGCCGCCCGGGTCCTAGCGCCGAGGCGTATCAGCCTCCTCCGCGAACGCACGGACACACGCACATCTGCCTCCAGCAAGTCAATGGAATTGAACTTAAAAAAATGACTACTAACCGGTAGCATCTCAGGTCTGACTGCAAACACGTTTAGAAGGAAATATATTCCCTCTTACTACATTCATGCATTTTGAATACATTTAAATTAAGCAAGAAATGACTTCGAACAAAAACGGCTACAGTCTTTGAACATCAACATGAATATTCAACTTCTCCAGAGATATTTTCTGGATTTGCACAGATGACCTCTGCAACTATGACTTATTCAGCGTTCGAATAAATCAGAGGCGTGAAGAAAAAAACCTGTCAGAATACATTAGATGGAGAGGACCCCCCCCCCCCCCTGAAAATGGAGCGGTAACACCCCCAAAGGCGCAACAGAGTGTGAGTTCAGGGGGCTGAAATATTCTCATCTTATTCTGGTGAAAGAAACATAAAAACAGCCCACGGCGTGAGCTCATCCTGCTCCACCCAACGGCGTTACTCTGCATGTGTGTGTGTGTGTGTGTGTGTGTGTGTGTGTGTGAGGCGTGCGCACACAGCTGGGCCCCCACATCAGCAAAGAGGAGTGCCAAGTTTTTACCTCATTAGAAACATCAAGAAACCTGATCCAGAGTCAGCGGGGGAGTACAGTGGGATTAATGAGCCACCCAATCCATCTGCAGCTGTCATTCATTTAACACTATTATGTGCACAGAGAAGCAGTCCTGTGTGTGTGTGTGTGTGTGTGTGTGTGTGTGTGTGTGTGTGTGTGTGTGTGTGTGTGTGTGTGTTTGCTAAGTAAAAAATACATGGTGTTCTGGTGCTGACCAGTTTATATGAAATATTTCTTAATAACAATGGTAATAATTGTATACTTAATATCCGACACGTGTTTAATCTTCTTTTGACAGCTTTGTGCCGCCCCGGGGGGGTAAATTTAAAAAAACCTTGTAAAAAGCAAAAGCCCGGCAGTGAGCGTGATGTGAATATGCATCGTGTGAAATCCAAAGATGTTGGAGCTTAGGGAATAAAAGTCATCTCAGGCTCTGCTGATTCATTTTGGATCGTTCGCTTTCATTCCCACAAAAATGAATTTGTCCCCACTGAGTCGCCCAAGAGAAGTTAGTGAAGTTCCACTTTAGCTTTTGCTATACGCATTCCCAGGTCACATGATCTCAGGATGTAATTATGGAATACTGACACGGACACACGAGCCCACATGGGACACAATACATCAATAGATGAGTCTAAAAATATATCCTCAGCCAAAACGAGGTCACATGGTCGCAACTCAATGGAAAAAAATCCTGATACTGATGTTTTATCGGTTTAGGTTGTGGCCTTTCATTTATTTCATCAGCAGAGAAATAGGCCCTGAAAATGGGCGTCATCAGTGACGATGTAGGAAATGTGGATAAATGCAACCTCGTGTGTTATTTTAATCCCCACATTCAAACGCAGCGAATTCAATAAAGTCCCACCGGCTGGAGGCCCGTCCGCTGCGCCCGCTGTCCCCGTGCAGCCGGAGGGGGTTAATCTCATCATACATGTAAGCCGCTGTTCCATCCACGCCGGCAGCGTGCAGCCCGCTGCCACAGCGAGGAGAAGGTCACGGGGGGGTCGCAGCCACATCTGGCCAGAGGCTGGGAGATGTTTGTCTTCATTCGTACGGACAGAGCTGCGCCTCTCGCCGCGCTGCTGTGGCTGTTATCTCTGGGAGAGCAGGGAGGGAGAAAAGGGAGGGTGAGAGGGGGGAGGAAGAGGGGGTCACGGCTAGGTGTCCTGTGACTGGGGGAAGCTCACCGTAAAGAAGAGCGGGTTACAAAGGGACTCGAAGGTTGGCCGGTTGGTGATCGAAAATCAGCCCGCGAATCACAAGAAGCTGATAACACAGAATATCAAGATTGTTTTCTTGCCTTTGGCAAAGACCGACTGACTGTTTATCAAGATTTAGACTTGTGAATGGAAGTGTGTCACTAAACACGTTCTAAAATCATGACATCAAGGACAAGAAGATCTTTTGGGTTACCAGAGGTTGTGGAAAAAAAGGAAGACAAAAATCAATTTTGCAAATATATGAATTAATAAGTCATTAATAAACAGTAATAAACCATTGAGTCTTCAGTCAGGGATATTGTGTGTGTGTGTGTGTGTGTGTGTGTGTGTGTGCGTCTTCATTTTACGCAGACACGCACACACACACTGAAAATTATGTCTGGCATTTCAGAGAACTATGTCCAAATGGTGACTGCAGAAAAGTGAACAAAAACAAGAACACACATGCGTGCGCGTGTACACACACACACACACACACAAACGTGCCCCTTCAGGCTGCCTCACAGCCAAATAGACAAACAGAGGTCCCACGATATGTTCACACACACTTCGTCCAAAAAGATGAGAAGAAAAGCACAGAGGCCTCAGTTTAAATTAACACACACACACACACACACACACACGCACACAAAAAAAAGAAAAAAGCCTATGGAATTCCTCTATGATGATAGTGGAAACTCAGCCAATTGCCCCGCGGCTTTGACCTGTGATCATCAGACTCGCCGATGCACAAGTTCAGTCCTGTGTGTGTGTTGCGTGTGAGTAAGTTATGCAAACATTGAGTGTCTCTCTCACACACACACACACACACACACACACACACACACACAGGAATTCATGTGAGCTTCTGTCCCGATTGGGAGGGAACGGTTTTTCTCTGGTGCTTCAGTGCAGACGCCAGGCGCCTGTTAACAGTGTCAGCACTCTCCATATGTGAAGGTAGCTCAGCTTAGCTTAGCTTAGCACAAAGACTTGTTTAATCTGCACACAAACCCGACTTCGGATCTAAAAAGTCGAAAACTGGGGCTAAAATGGAACGCGGGAAGCTCCACATAGACACAATGTGTCTTTTTAACAGGTGAAATGCTGTCACTTGATCAAATGAACGATGACGCCATTGGCTTCAGCTATATTTCGATGCTAACTAGCGGACGGTAGCAGCAGGCTAACATGCTAAACTGAGAAGTTTTGTGCTCAAGAATTGACAAAAAAAAGACGGAAGTTCTTTTATTTGGGGCCACTGGACTCTGAAGAGTTCCTTTTTGGACACTAATCTCGTGTGTAAATAGCTCAACACGCCCTTATGTCCTCTATTCTTCGGCAAACTACCGGCAAAAAAAAGAGAAACGTTTCACACAAAAAGGGTCCTAGAAAACCCCAAAACCACATCGCTCCCAGCTGAGTGCTTTCTTTAAGCCGTCGTCTTCTTAAATAAGTACGACTGTCTTCAGTCAAGCAGATGCAGCTTTTTTTCCCCCCCGAGTGACGTCTGAACGGAACAAAGCATCTCTTGTGGGTCACAGCACCAGATGGGTGGATCTGCAGGATACAGAAAAGTGCACCGACTGCATGTAAAAATAAAAGAACGTGCTGTGGGAGATAAGCACTCTCTCCGTATGGAGGGAGGTTGTTGTCACACGGCACATTGTGGATTATCAGCAAGGAAAAGGGGCACAAACACAACATGCACACACCTACTGAGATCACGTCTAAACAAGACAATCGTATCTCGGCGAGATAATATTAAAAAAAACACATTAGTTTCCCAGGGAAATGCGTTTGATTTTCTATCAAACTGGTAATGTTGTGTATTTGTGCGGCTTAGCAGGCAGCAGCTGTCTGTGTGTGTTTTCTAGTAGTCAGCAAAGAATAAGTCCAAGAGATTCTCTATAATCCTCAAAGTGTGAACATCACAGCTGATGGTAAAGTCCATTTCATGTTTGGGGGACATTTTTAATCTCCTTGCTGGTAATTACCCAACTGTATAATTAATGTAATACCACAGAGGAGATACAAATAAATGGTTGAATTAATATTTCAAAATGCTTCCAAAGCTTCCAAACGACTCGTTGTCTCTGCTGAACATCTGAGAAACAAAGCACCCAGAACCACAGGGTTCTTTGGTCTGGAGGAGCCTTTTGGGTACCGAGCAGAACAGTTTTTAAAAGTTCCACCTGAACCCTCTCGGACGGTTCTCCGTTGTTGGAGATGCTCTTGACAATCTTTGGAGAACATTTTTGTCCAGAAAGGGTTCTTTGGATGAATGGAGCTCAGAATAGAACGATGAAGCCTTGAAAAAAGGAGTATTTGAAAGCTTTGGTGTGGACAAATTGAAAGACTCGATGGCACTATGAAAAGTCATGGGGGGGAACCAAACTTTGGGACGAAACATCCAGTAGATGTTGACATATTTGGGTCGAGCCTGAGGGAACGTCAGCAGATGGTCGGGGAACCGTCAATGTCCAAATATCCTGGCAATCAAAAACTTTTTATTTAGTTGGAGTGAAGCGACCTCGTCCCTCATGGAGCTTAGTCAGCAGTGAACAAACAGACTGTACAAATTAAGGTTTCTGCTTCCTACAAGCCCACATCACCATCATCATCATCATCATCGTCGTCAGTATTTACCCAAATGACACCTCCTGAAAAAAGGGATTTTTCTCCCTGCCAGCTCGGCAGAACAGTTAAAGCGGACCGACTGCTGCCCGCCGGCACCAAGAGTCCGGCTGGAACATCTTTTCCATTTGCACACTGATGGACCATTCCAAGACGTTACAGCATCCCAGCATAAACACACACACACACACACACACACACACACACACACACACACACACACACACTGAATTGGAGCATGATGAATTATTCAGAGTTCCTCTCACTGCTTTTTCCAAGTGTGTACGATCACCTCAGAGGTCTCCACACGCCATTTGCAGATAATATTCTGCTGGTTTTGGGTCCTCAGGGGCCTGCCCGGACGACAAGGGTCCCGGAGATCCAGCTGAGGCCCCTGTGCCCCCCCACCCCGCTGTGGAAGGCAGCTGGAAGACTTGGCTCTCTGATGGGCGGGACCAACCGTGTTGCCGAGCAACCGGGATGTTGTGGTTCTGTTACTCCAGCTGGGCTGGATCGGGGAAGGACGTCCATTAGCGGGGACGGTGTCCCCCGGTGCCTCGGCCCTGAGGATAATGGGGGGGGGGGCTTCCAGATGAGCGGGCCTGAAGCGGTTCATGGATAGATGAGTGGAGCCACTCGTCTTAGGAAGTGCTTCATATCTACAATGTCACACACATTTTATGAAAAAGTAATTCAAGCTCAAGCGGATAGTTGATGTGTGCACGTGCTCCTGGAGGACGTACTCCACTACCGCTGGGACATATCGGTTTAAGACTAATTTATATTAAAAAGAAAAAATGAAACTATATTAGACAATTAAATTAATAAAATACATATATATGTACATAGAAACAAGTTTTATTGCCGCAGTAATTGTATACGGTTCGAAAACTTTTTTATATTCAATTTTCTGACTCAAATAGTCAGTTATGACATTTTTAGTTCATCAAAATGGTTTAAATTAAATCTACAATACAAATATATCAATTTAAATGATTAAAATTACAAGTCTATTTATAAATAATTTAATTAAAATTGTATTTTGATTAATTTAACTAAATTCCAAATACATTTCATCTCAAATGTGAATCTTTATTTAGCAATTCTATTATTTTTTAAACAATTTTACAGCTTACACTGTTCAACAATATTCTCAATTATATGAAGTATGTTTCCATAGTATGAGCAAATATGTAATGTGAACACATATGTAATGTAAGCAAAACAAAGATGAAGCAAATACCAGCAGCAACAGTCTGAACACACTCACATCAGTGGAAACAACTTTATTATTATTATTATTAACAATGATTAAAGCCAGACGGACACACAGTGGGAAACATGCACCCACCCTAAACCGGAGAGTGTCAGAAACAGTCTTAGCAGTGTGCAAAGCTTTAAAGAAGCAGAAGATGGGGGGGGCGCTGCGACTTGAGGGGGAAGTGTGAGTCGATGCTCAGAACTTCCATTGCTTGCATTTCCTCTACGGAGAAGAAGCCGTGCTTCTTCCATTACCTCCCACAGACGCATCTTCTTAGAATATTGCCGTTAAAACGCAGCTGTCAATCACGCTCTCAGCTGTCACTCACGTTGCTTCCAGTTCTTGTCCCGCGGACTATTAAAAAAACAACAACAAAAACACAAACAGGTCATCCATCCACTAAAGTGCTACACTTTACTTTGAGATCCGCCTTTAAGAGGCACAAATGTAAGGTTGGAATCATGGGCATTAGCTGCTGGTAGCTAAAGGTGGCTAACGTTAGCAGAATCACCTGCGCTACTGTAACACTCGTAACACATCGGCCCCCCGCGCTTTGTAGACTTTGACATCCGGAAACTGTTTGATAAAATGCCATTTATGCAGCCTCAGTCTTTAATGTGAGCAACCGTCTTAAGTTGGAACCAGGGAGTCGGGGCCGTTTTGCATGAAACGTGGCGGATAATAATCATGAATCAAACAGTTTGACATTAATTCTTCGTATATTGAATGATTGAGTAATCACTTTGGATCTAGTTGGGGGGAATTCAGTGTGATTATTGTGTAATTGCCACGTGAGGCCCCCTCGGCTCAAAAGTTGCGTTACACACTTCAAGTTCTACTTCAAAAACCTTTAATGTCTGTGAAAGAAATACGTAATAAGTAATGAAAACGACCTTCATTCACTGTAAAGACATCAAATAATGGAAACAAAGTCTATGAATAATGTTAGTCGCCTCAAATGTTTAAATAAAAATAACTTCAAACACACTTTAAGACGATCAGCACCAGCACAAAGAATCCTCCAACTTTGCCGTCGCTACAATCTTCAGTCACAAAAGGCTTCGACTGCACACCTGCAGAGGAGCGCAGGTTAAAACACGAAACAGAGGCCTCGTGCCGCCGTGAGAATGGGCCCGACACCCGCCCCCCACACCCCCTCTTCCTCCCTCCTCGCGTTTCACTGACGCACGCTTTTTAAATGTCAAGGCTCCTTCCCTCTCTGCTCATTTCTCCCCCCTGCGGAGCGGCGGCGGTACGTTCCCGCTGCTACAGAAGGAAGGGAAGTCCGGGCCTTTGATTCCCGGCCCCCCCGCGGTCAGCTCGGGTTTGATAAAAAAAAAAAAAAAAAAAGAAAACTCCTTTGAGGGGCACAGCTCCAGCGCCTCCACCCATCTGATGCGCTTCCAGTTCCAAATCCACAGAGGAGGAGGGGGGGGGGGGAGAGGCGTCATCGAGGAGCCAACAGTCGGCGCCCAGCGGAGTGGTTCACTGCTCGGTGGGACACGCGTTGCGGTCCTTGCAGCAGAAGTAGTGCACCACCACGCCGTTGGGGTACCGGGCGAACGCACTGAGGGACAGAAAAGAGGACATAAAGGACACTGATAAAAAGGGATAAATGGAATGAGATTCCATTTGCATTCGGCTCAAACCTTAAACGTGCTTACGACACGGAGCTGGGTACCTGGTTCCTATTTTCTTCCTGCAGACGCGGCAGGTCTTCTCCTCGGTGATGACGCACTTCACCTGCTGGTGGAAGATCCGCTCCTCCTGCACCTGAGAACAGAGGACACGGCGGGTGAGCTAGCCGTGAGTGGCAGCTTCTTCCCGTCTTCAGACTGACTCGATGGCGTTAGAAGCATTTCGGAGGAAAGCCAATGTGATGGTTGTGACGACGTGACCACAGCTGATTTATTCCTCAGAGAACATGTGATCGAAGAGCAGACGAAAAAGGTTTCATTTGCGTTGGACCTCATTTAATCGGAGAGGAAAAATCTATCTTCAATGCATTGAGGTCTGAACCACTCAGCTAAACCACCAACAGAGCGAGAGAATCTTTCTAGACAATATATCATGTATGACTTCTGCAGGTTGAGCGTCTCTTGTCAAGCTGACACTCCGGAGAACAGAACTGCGTCGCGTCGCGAACGAGTCCCCGGGACTTACTCGGAGGAACTCGGCCTGCAGCAGACTCTTCAGCACCTGGTTGCTGCGTTTCCTCCGAGCCTTCTCCTCCAGCACGCTCTCCAGGAAGACCCGGATCTCTCGGATCTGAGTGTTTGCTGGCAGCAGATTGATGGCCTGGGAGACGACAAAAACAACAGCGGGCTTGAAGGATTACAACGCTTGTCCTCATGAGGAGGGTCTTCGAAGGAATCAAAAAGCAAAAGGAAGTACAGTTTTAAAAGTATAATCTCTAATTCCAGAAAGGGGAACCCTGATTGAGAACTACATAAAAGGCTCGAATGAAAAGAATTTCCTTTGGGGGGGAAAGGGATCTGCTGCCACATGACTTCCCCAAGTGCAGAAACAAAAGCGACTGTTAGCTTCTGTGTGAATGAGGCTGGAGGCAATCGAGGCCAGTACTCGGTCTATGTAATTAAATTAAATTCGCCCAAATGGCCTCGTTGCACTCAGACAGCTTGGAGTGAGCTGCTGTTTCCTGCAGAGAGACGACGGAGGCTCTTGGTTTGTCTAACTCAACTTATACTGTGTATTTGTAGAAGATGTGAATGCACCACTATGCATCGCTTAGTATGCATCCTCCAGTTTGATGTTTAATACAACAAGACCGTCCTCCTAATTGAAAGCACCAACAGAGCCTAAACCCAATGAAAGAATTGAAAAAAGCTTGAGCGTTCCCAACTTATTTATTTAAATAAAAGACAATAATTCGCACAGAAAGAATTTGTCAACTAACGTGAAATTTATCTGCGAGAGAAATCTGAAGGACAAATATGCTCAATTTCCGTTAGTTACACACAAATATTAATCTCCTTGGTCAGAAAAAAAAATGTAGATGAGACGTCACCCCACCTTCCGGAAACTTGTTTCCCCACAACATATAAACTAAATGACAAACTGCTTATATAAAATAATACACATATATTTCATTACGTCTGCAGTCTGAAGCTCTCTGGGCGGGTCAGCGTCTGGCAGCGAGGCAACAGGACCGAGAGGGAAACAGACCAGACGGAGAGTTTCCCGACAAACAAACGCTCCCGTGAACCGGCAGCGTTTCCACTGGAGACTCCTGATCCGACCCGACCGAGCGCAGATCACCATCACTTCCGCTTTAGATCACGCCGCGGCGCTTTGTGTGTTCGGAGATGCGCGGCGACATCACAGACAAGATGCGGAGGGTGGGAGAACGTACAGAGCGGCTGGAGCTCATCGGGGGAACAAACCCGGAAGCAAACGGCTTCATGAGGCTTCAGAGCGCCGAGGAGCTGAGGGGGAACACGGGGAAGCGTCGCCTCGCCTCGCCTCAGGCATCCCTGTGTGAGCGCTGTGTTCAACCACACACACGTCACAGCGGCTGATCCACACGAGGGGAATACTGTAGAACAGTGTGGAAAAAACGGTCTGCTGCGAGAACACGAGTTGCGATGACATCAGCGGCCACGCGATGCCAAAGCGGACTCACCCATGTGTTTCAGGGACAAAGCGGAGTTTTTCCTGGTTAACACCTTAAAGTGTGGAAACGCTTCCAAAGTCCTGCAGCGGGAGCCTCGGCTTTAACTGTGAACATGTGGCACCTCTCAAGTGGCCGTCCGTTTGAATGGAAGCAGTGTGATATATTGAGAAAAGAAATGAGCCAAATTGTTCTTCTGACGTGAGAGTGACGTAGTTGGAGGGAGCAGCTCCACCTTATCCGCTTTGCTCGTATTTTAACGGACGGTGAACGCGGTGTGAGCGGACGAGGCGGCGATGAGAGTTAAGTTTCGTGGCATCCTGGTACATGTAGGCAGATGCATGTCAGTCACGTAGATGTTGCAGCATCTTCCCTCTAAGGGAGACCTTGCGACAGGAAGGTGTGATCAGCTGGTCTTTAACCGAACAGCTGTTATTCGATCATTTGCTCCTGGGCTCAGAAGGTTGAATCAGGTCTACGGAAGGAATTCGATCCAGATCTTCACTCAGATTCTCCAACGCAGAAGGCCTGCGGAGGGAGCTCAGCGCCCTGGTGGAAGCCTCAGGAGGTTTGGATGGTTTTCCATTAGGAAGGAAAGGGCGATTACCTTGCTAGTGTCGAGTTTGCTGTGGTGCAGCTCCAGGACGCGGAGGGCCGCCTGCAGGTTGGCCTGAGGCTCCGACAGCTCCATCTTGATGGGCCCCAGGCAGTGCACGTCAGGAGGGGACAGGTACATCCGCAGCAGGGACAGGTAGACCTGCGGGGCGGAGACACCGACGTCAGTACTCAACCCGTCTGAATCATAATCATTTTCGTATCACTTCACCACGAAGGAAACAGAAAACACACACGAGTTTCATGACTCAAAGCAGTTATGCAGATGAAACGTGATATAAGATTTGCCGATCTACAAGAAGAATGTTTATTCATCAACATGGATCAACTGGATCATCATCAACTGGATTCAGAAATGAGACAAGAATCGGATTTATAATGTGATAAAAAAGGAAAGATGTAGAATATGTCAGACATCTTCCCTGACATATTTCCTAAAATTTCAAAACCGTTTCTTCAACATCAGACTATAATTACGGTTTTGATAAAGTAGACATAACCACGCGATGATGATGATACGTCTTAATATTCAGTGTGCTAAACAGGGCTTCTCCCCTCCATCTAATACCGATTCATTTATTCATGTTTAGTTCTTGTTTGTTTGAAAACATGACAGTCAGTGTGACAGTTTTCATTTTTAATCATCGGGAGCGTGAGCCATAAATAATCCATTATATTGGAGTAGCACTTTCTGCAAACACAAAGGCGCTTAACAGACAGCAGCCGAGTGCACAAAATGAAATCTGTGCTCATAAAATAACAACAACAAAAAAATCCAGCTGAAAGATGAAGGAAGGTGACTTTGGAAGCGACTTACGTCTTTGTTCCCTTCGACGGCGCTGCTGTAATGGCTGTGACAGTACCTGCAGAGCAGCGGAGACGAGATTCACACAATAGGAACAGGACAATTGGGAAGGAACAGCTCACTTCGGGTCCAGTTGTGGCCTTTCAAATTCATTTCGCCGCCTCGCAGAATCGTTTTTTTCAAATTAAACACACTTGCGTTTACTAATCTTTGGACAGGACGAAATGAATTCTTCAGCAGGGGTCACATCTTTGGCAGGCGATCGGTGTTCTAGGACTCACGCTTCGGCCATGCTGGTGTCGTTCAGGATGTGCACGTAGATGAAGAGCGCCTGCTCGTGTTTGCCCATCCGACCCAGGAGCAGAGCCCGTTCCTCCAGCAGGCCTTCGGGATGGAAAACAAGAGTCACCCTTCGGCGTAAACCCTATAGAAGCTAAAGCCTTCCTCCGTAACAGAGGACACATGCGCATGAGGTAATGGAAAGTCCATTAAATACTTACACAACATAACATTAAGCCCCCGGGGAGCACATTTGTGATATTGGGTTGTATCAATAAAACTGACAGGATATATAAACTTTACTGATTTCTGCATGGAAAACAAGGCATGTCCTTCCACACGCTGAGTGTAAAAGCTCAGGACGTTGTTTTCAGTCGCAGTTCTTACCGTCGAAGGGGAAGTCGCTGATGAGTCTGGATGGTTCGTAGCTGGTGGAAATATTCAGGAAAGACAGCAGCTTGTTCCTGAACTCTCCCAGTTCACCTTCCTCTTTCCCCGCAGCAACGGCTGCAACTCCTGCAACCGCGGCAACGACGGCAGGTTAAAACGTCATTTAAAAAGGGAATAATTAATACTGCTTCTCGTAGTATTCCATGATATCAAAATGTATTCATTTGACTTTGTCTTCAAACTGCATATTCCGTGTGACATAGTTTGTTTTCTCAATCATTTCACATTTCAGAGACAAAGTGGGTCAAAACAACGTGAGCTTGATTGGCAGGTTAGTAATTCAAGTAATTGAAAGGTTGAATAAAAAGTTAAAATGGAAATCATGATCAAACCTGAGATGAACCTGGAAATAGTGCAGACGAAGGAACAATAAATGATGGCTGTAAAAGGGAAGAGACCCGGGGGCGACCTGAAGCAATAACCCGGCCCAAGGGCAGAACTATTTATTTGAATTACTTTATTTCCCAGACAAAGTGCACATCAATGAGCATTTGGACACATCGTCATGAGACCCACAGAGAGCGAGAGAGACGGGTGCACACTGCAAAGCAGCGGGGGACAAACATCTGTCTGAGTGAAACCACATGCAGTGAGGTAGTCACATGAAAGTCCCACGATTAATTACAATTAGGATCTTTTGCCGTTAAGGCGACATTGAAGCCCAGGAGGTCACGTTCCCCTGCGGCTCGTAAATAATCCACTTTACTTTAGGTAGAAAATAAGTATAAATGTTAGGAATCTCAAATTAAATCTGCATCACTTCTCAGCCCCCGGATGGTGTGGACGAACTCTCGAGTATTCTCTGGTACCTTCTGGCAGTGAGTTGAGGTACTGCTTCATGAGGCCTTGGACCCTCTCCAGGTAGAGCTGAATCAGCACATTGTGAAACTCCGGCTCCTTGTCCTCCCACTCGTACACAATGTGCTCCAAATACGGGATGGCGAGCTCCTTGAAGCCCTCCTTCAGGAAGTTCAGCACATTGTCTCTGGGCAAAGTCTCCACCTCGGTCAGGTCCTCTGTGAAGATCTGGACAAAGTAGATTTAGACTTCAGAAAGACACGTCTGGTGTCATTTTGATAACTGGAGAAAACTGTGAATGTCTTTGTCCCACCTTGAGGCCGTCCTCAGGACAGATCTTCAACACCCAAGGAGAAAACTCAAAGATGATTCCCAAATTCTCCCCTCCTGTGTGATGCGGGGGGGTTACAAGAGATAAGAGTTTGACTGCAGGAGGAGCTCAGAGGAGAAGATGTAAAGACGGAACAAAGAAGAGGATCATGATCATAATCAGAAAACTGCATGAAGCACCAGCATCATCGTGGAATAAAATCCATAAAGTCAGTTAAACCTGTCTGATGAGTGGTTTGTTCGTCCTTAATCCCAAACCACCGCTCCACTTATAACGGCTTTCTTGGAAGAATTGTGCTGCAGAATGCGTCGCCTCCATTAACAAATTGAACCACTGCCAGAGAGGCTGAAAGCCTCGACGCGGCTTTTGATGCGGTTTTTCCCTCCGACCGGGTTTCATCTCACAGGCCACTAGACGGTTCCAGAGTTTAACCACATCGAGCGTGAACAGTGACGCATATGGAGCGAGATCCCCTCACTTAGTCAGTCCCAGGCCTACAAAGGACATCGCATCTCATCCAACATCCACAATCAATCACGTTGAAAGTCCTCTTAGAGTCTCTCCCGGAGAACGCAGCGCATCCAGCGGCGACAACATGTTTGCCGCTGTTAGTTGAAAACAGACGGAGGGCGGACGCTTACCAAGCCGCTGGAGGTACTGCACCGTCCGCTCGTGGCCCTTCAGCGGAGAGTTGGCCTTGGTGGACTGGTCCAGCAGCACCTGCAGAGCTGGTGAGGAGAGGGAGGGGGAGGCGAGTGAGCTCAGTCCGGGTGAGAGCGGGGGGGTGGGAGGGAGGCGCGCACGGCGTTACACGCCACTAAGTGGAGGGAGCAGATGCGCGGCGGTAATGGGACGGCGGGTGACAGCTGGTTGGAATCGATGGGGATCCAGCAGATGTTTCTGGGTGTTTCGATGTCGATTGTCATGCTGAGGCCCTGAAATGTGACTCATTCGTTTGATTGATTGATTCCTCTCGTCTGCTGCACGATTTTCATGATTGGTTTGATTAATACTTGGACCAAATCTTTTAACAGGATTTTTCTTGGATTTTGAATCCGGGTACATTTTGAGGTAAGTCGGGATCGTTTCTCTGTTAGATGAAGTTCATTGGACATTTCTTTAGGATAATCCTCCAAATACAAAGAGACACAAAAAAAAGGAAATAAACTATTCGGACCGAGCTCAACTCGAGCTGCTTGTTTCTAACTGTCGTGGGTTTTGTTGTACAAGTTGTGGCTTCTGCGGCTTAAAACGCCCTCTCATCTACTCATGCGTGAAAGCATACCTGAACTTGCACGTCAACAGAACTATCAGAGTTTTCCAGGAAAGTCCCAACAGCTGAAGGAGATGTATAAATCCACTCCATCTCAGATGAATTATTATGCACCAAATCCCACGAATGGAATCCAAACGGCTTTTGCCAAGAAGCAAAGTTCAGTGCAGATACACAAATAAGGACTAAACTATGACTCACTATGACTCACATCATCAATTGTAATAAAAATGGATTACGTTGATCCTTTGTGTCAAGAAAATGCACAAAATGTCCCTAAAATATTGTGATTAGAATAAAAAAAAAAATGATATAGCGCAAACTTTTAGTGCAGATAAGAACGTCTTAACACAAAAATAAGACTCAATGAAAATGTTTATTTCTAAACTACAGACTTATCTTTAAGACTAACAAGAGTAGTTCCTGCACAATGAACGCACGGACCAGACCAGAACGCAGACCAGATGCGTGTAACTTTGGACCCATGAAATCTCTGGAATAGTGTTTTAAATATAACAACCACGACCATTTGTTCACCAAAGATGTCAACAATTAAAGTAGTACAAACTTAAAAACTGGCTCATGAAGCCAAAGAGTGGGTTCAGAGACATAAAAGACTGTGGTTGCTCATTGGAGCGGCGCCTCACCTTTCTGGTGGAGGCCCTTCTTCTCGTAGAGGATAATGAGCTCGCTGTACTTGTGGGCCTTCTTCAGGACGTACTCGCTCTCCTCGATGTGGCAGTGGTTGTTCTCCAGGCGAAGGAGGGGGGACACCATGGCCACGTTGGTCTAAATGGAGAAGAGCACCTGATAAAAAAAACATGAAGACCACACGCTTCCAGTTCAGGTCGTGTTTCACCCAAAGACTTGGGCGCGCTGATTGGGTGCTTTCTGCTTCACATGGTGCTAATCTGGTGCAGATGTTGAGACACGTCCACTCGCTCTCAGGTTGTCCCTCCCGGGTGATCTGGGTCTGCCGTGAGAGTTCCTCTCATCTTTATTATACCTCCAAAGAGAAACCTGCCCATAGCCACTTCTATCTGTGATGTCATCCCGGCACTATTTCTCAGGAGGTTGGACCTCCTCCATTGAATCAATTTAGTATGAGGATTTTTCATATACTCAATTCTGAATGCGTCTCCATCTTCTATGCGGGTGCCATCCCTTTCTTATTTGAGGTTGTAAATGAATCTGGTATTGTGATAAAAAGTCAAATCTTTTGGAGGATTAGTAGATTGATGAAGACCATTTCCTGTATAGTGTGCCAGGCATTCAATTATTATTTAAGTAATAATAATTGAAAGTGTCCATTTTGACGGAAACGTTTCCAGGAAGAAAAGGGCGTCGTGCTCACGTGCAGGTAACATTTCAGCAGCGTGGTGTCGATGATCTGCAGGAGTTTTTTGCGGCTCTTAATAGTCGGCGTGCCTTCCATCAGCGGAGACGTTGTAGACGGGTCGGAGTCGTTCAGCTGCTTCACCAGGTGGCTGCGCTTCTGTGAGGACAAATAATAAAGGTTAAAAAGGTTCACATTGGGCCTCTTTTGATTCCCCCTAGACATGCTTTCATTCGCTCTCTCTCACACACACACACACACACCTGTGTGAGATAATCGATGAGAGCGAGATGAGCCTTCTCCAGCTCCGCCACGGACAGAGCAGGCAGAGGGTTTGGGTAGTGCAGCTGTTTGCGGTAGTCCGAGGGGAGCAGGTCTGGGTACAGCCCGATCACATGGGTGGGATCTGTAGAGCGAACCAGGTGAAGCTCACGTTATTATATTAAGTGTTTGATCCAAAAACAGAAAGCTGACTCGGGGAAAGAGTTCACACAAAATATGAATATGTCAAATTAAGAGGTAGTTACATCAGGTTTAGAGGAAATGCCTCCTCGTTACGTGACAATGTTACGTGATGAATCAACATACACAATAACCAAAAGCTGTGAAGAAGAAAATACCTGTGCCCAGTTTGGCAAACACCTGCATGGAGTCATCAAATCTCTTCTGGCAAAACAGATTGAAGGCGAAGAGATTCTGGATGTGATGGATCTGCTGCTTCTTATCGCCGTCTGAATCGTCCTTCATCTTCCGGCAGAAAAACAAGAATAAAATGAACAGAAGCAAAACCAAAGTATGCATCGCGCTCCGGAATAAAAGTCAGTCGATCAACTTTTCAAGACGACGGCTTTCCTAAACACACGGCCCCTGGTCGGGCGTAGCCGCGCTAGTGTTCCACCCTCCGAGGGGCAAATGTGCGGCTGCGCTGCTCACCGCCAGCTGAAGAGCCAGCTCGAACTGCTTGTCCTGAAGAAGCTGCCGGATCTGCGTGGCTATCGACACGGGCACCAGGCGCCACACAAAGTGGTTGCTGGCGACGTACACTATGTTTTGCCTGTGAAAGACGAGATTAGAGAGGATACGTTGGAACAAAAAGCGTTGAAACTGGTGAGAGTGTCGTGTTCTTGCGAACACCCTGAAAATGACACCGTTGTTCATTGTTTCCAGAGTCTTTATTTTATATGTCGGCCGTCGGTCAGAATTCAACATTATAAATTATTTCAGAGAGCCCGACGCGGCGTATCGTCACAGCGGACCGCCTCACCCGGCCGAGGTGATGAAGCGAGGTCGCTGCAGCTCCACACTCTGCACCAGCAGCCGGGGCTCCAGCGTCCGGATCTCCACGTACCGAGGAAGGACAGCTATGATGTACGGAGGCTGGTGCTCTGGGAAAAGAGAGTGCTGGATTAAGGAGAGGAGCCATTCCAACGTCAAGAAGCCAAAAAGGCTATTTGCACAAACATTTACTTAACCTAAACTACTACGGTTTTAAGACCCACCCGACTCAAACTCAGCGTGTGGAGAGCAGGTGCATCAGTTGGGATTATTTGTGGGTGAGGGGGGTTCTTGAGGCTAAAGGGGCAGGAAGTCGGCCATCTAGATGCGCCTGAGGCTCGTCTCTGGAAGCATTTCTAACCCGACCGCCACTCTACCTCGGCTGCCGCACGCACCTCACAGCCACAATGTTGTTTACGTTGAAAATGAGGAAATTGCAAACAGTATGAAGCCACTGCTTGAATTCCTCTTCATATTGTTTGTACCTGCCTGCCAGTGAGCACCACCTTTATCACTTCTGTTCTAGAGCTCGTCAGTAATCCACACATGTGGTGCCTTAGTCACGGGTAAAACAAGCATGTGCTAGAAATCTAAAACGAGGTTTCCTCTGCTGACGCGTGGAACACAGAAGCACAGCTGAGACAACAAAACTTAAGGAAGAGAGAAGAAAAGTCAGACAGCGATGACGATGGCAGTATTTTAGCCACGCGCTTCCTCAGCGGTTTGCTTTATTGTTTTGCTTTGTGAGCAAACTTGTTCAACCACTCTCTGTCAACACGCATATGGATCAGTGAAATCACAGAGCAACATGCTGAACATCTCGTACAGATGACGTAAAAGCTGCATATGATTCAACAGCTCGGGATTAACTGAAACTATTTCAACTTCATCAACTTTTTGTTTTTCTGAAAACATTACACCCTCCGTGTTAGTTGTGTGACTTTCTCACCCATTGCTACTGGGATGTCGGTCCAGTTCAGGGCACACTTCTGGGTACAAACGCCCTCTTCGTTTACCACCACAGTGAGGTCATCCTGGCCAACTGCCACCTTCCCATCAGCCAGTGGGGCAACCAGAGGCTCCAGCTGTTTGCCAGTGGGAAAGAGATCCTTGATGGTGCCCCGGCCATCCATCTGATTGACAGGAGAGACGAGTGAGTCTGAACTGCCTAATAAGAACTCATTACAAACTTTGCCTGCAAGGTGAAGGTCACAGTGCTTTAGACCAACATCTAAGAAAAAGGCAAAGCGACAGTTGGTTGATAATAAGAATAACAGCAGGAATTAATACAAAAGGAAAAAAGACTGCAAATTCAAGGCCAACCTAACAGACGGAACATCTCTCACCATAAAGGAACAAACCACAAATCGTTTTCAGCTCATTTTGCAGTTTTACTTTACGTTGTAGGTAGCGGTCGATAAATAGAGCTTATTGTTATCCATGGCGGTGGCACGTACCCGTATGAGGTAATAGTCTCGCTTGAAACCAACACATATGGAGTTTTCACACCAAGCCATGGACTTTGGGATATCAGATGCACTAAAGTCCCCCTGACAGACAAAAACACACCGTAATGGTTAAAAGGTAACAATTGGAAAAAAAACACCTGTAAACTTGGATCCTACGGTTTTCCCTACTAGTTCTTATTTTACCTGCAGTTCGTGGAACTCTCTGTCCTGCCAGTAATACAGCTGAAGCTTCTTTTTCACTGCAACACACATTCTCAACCTTTCCTCTCCTGTGCTGGTGTGCTGAAAAAACAACAACAGACTAGACATATAATTCATCCGTTCTTTTTTTTGTTTAAGCCAATTAATCGTTATTGTTATATCAGTAATACTGTAATATTAGTGATGAACATTTTAAAACGTTACTGCCTTGAAATAATCCAAATGTTCTTAAACAGTCCACTAATCCGTCATGTACTGATAGTAGCTTTACATATTAGTAGAAGTGAACGCTGGATGGGAATCACTACGAACGTGTGACAATACTAGAGGCATTGTGTCTAAAAGATGTAACTGACTGACCTGCAGGTCACAGGTGAAGAGCGTGGCGCCTTTGGCTTTGGCCACTACAGTGATCTGCTGGAAGGTCAGGAGGTCGTGGACGTGGATGTTGTTCTCTGCAGGAGAAGACGGATGAGGAGAATGAAGACAAATGCAACGCTTTAAGCCCGAAGCGATTAACAGGCGAAGACTAACCAGCATGATCATTGGAATTAGTAGAATAAAGTAGTAGTTTGCAGAGAAAACGTACCGAGAAGACTGACAAGAATTTTGTACTGCGAGACGACGTAGAGCTGAAGAAAGAAATACAAACAAGGAATGCCGGTTTTAAACAGGAATCCAACAACAAACAGATGTATGAGGACATTAACAGTGCTGAGAATACACCCGAGCTTGTTTGTTTAACCCTCTTTTCTTTTTGAACTATTTATATGCATGGCAATTCTGAACTACACTGATTCAATCTGAAAGTTGTTCGCAGCCATCCTGATCAGATCAATCGTCTTTGGTTTTCTACGTTGCCGTGAGCATGAGCCCTGAGGCATTACCAGGTTTATTCCAAGACGTTGGCCATTGAGTGCAGCGTAAAGTGAGATTCACGTTCACTAACAGACAAATGACGAATATTGAAAAATAATAACAGGACAACACGGTATGTGGTCCTAGAGATCTGACTGTTCTTTATTTGAGACTCGCTCATTAGTCAAAACGGCCTTATTTACCTGCTGAATCTTTTTTGAGAAGTTCTTATTTGATTTCTCCAGTGTCACCTCAAACCGGTTGGTGCCTGAAGAGAATAGAGACATCAGAAACCATCCAAACATTTGCTCGAAGCAGGGAGCATTTGGTCTGCAAATACACAATGTTGCACCACACACGTCCTGCGCCCTTCCTACCTGCATCCTTCTTAATCCTGTAGAGAAGAAGATGCCCCGGCTTTGTTCCCACGAGCAACCACTCCTCTGTGGAGAAGAAACACTGAAAAGTCACGTTGGGACAGACATGTGGTGGATAGTACGCGATCAAACAAATACTCTATCACGTCCGGGTGAAACAATCCATCACTTCACCTGAGAGTTTATATCTCAATAAAAGCCCACAGGAACCACTTTAGCGTCACTGAATGAAAGAACAGCTGCGGGAGACACCATATTTACCCCAGGCCGCAAGACAGTCAATCTGGAGAGGAAGTTTCTCCAAAATAGGCACTGGCTCGTACGCGTCATGCATGGTGAAGCAGTACTTTTCACTCCCTCACGGACCCCTCGGATGGCTCGGTTCCACGGGGCAGCTCACGCGCCCGGGACAACAGCGGACAGACCGGCCGCTGGCTATTGTGTCAGGGTGGTCCGCCCGTCTGTGTCGCCATTAACCGAGTTAGCGAGGAGAATGTATCTGGTTTGTACTCCTCTGCTCCACAGCGCGGCTCGTTAGCCGGCTAGCTCTCCGACCAAAACAACAGCTGATTGTTAGCCTGCTAGCTTAGAGGTTCGCGAGCAACGGCTACATTGTTCCCTTCAACTCTCCGCCGACTGAAAAAAAAAAAAAGCCGACCGCTTTGTGGATGAAGACAAACGACGCCTCCAGTTGACTTAATTAAAAAAAAAAGAGAGCAATGTGTTAGCGGCAGCGTTTGCTTCCCCTTGGACGCTTACGCTACTTCCTCGGTGGCCCGCGGGTTGTGTTGTTCGCGGCTGCGCGAGGACACGGGGCTTGACAGGCACGTGACAGAAGTCACTGCGCTCACGAGGACAGCATTAAAGGAGCCGGCGTCTGCGGGACGAGGTGCATTGTGGGTAACAGACCTCCATGACAACGTGACGTGTTTCATGCATTTATGAAAAGTAACTTTCTATTTCATCTTGGTTTATTGTTCCAAGAATGTAAAATAGAATATGATGGTCTGAACACACATGTATGTATATATTCGGTATATATTGGTGTGTATGAAAATACACCCGCATATTCCCCACAAGAACTGATGCCGTCTGTTCGACATACATTTTATAGACAGGACATACTCAAAAAAGCATTAGAATATCGTCATCTTCACATTACAGTGCAGACTCACATCCAAAAATTGGTCCCTTTAAAGTAAATCATCCTCAATACTTTGATAGATTGATAGATTTGATAGATAGTATATCTACATATATTTAGCATGTACAATTTCCTGCTAAATTAATTCATAATTATTAAATATGGAGATTTTGAAGGGCTTCCATTTAGAAAGGACCATTTACTTTTAAATCTAATGCAAAAAAAGACATACATTAGTCTTGTCAACCAAGGACTAAGTTTGTCCCTTCCAAGGAGGGTTTAAAGAAAATGTGCACATTATGGTCGCAGTACAGCTTCATACCAGTAGAGAGAGCAGCTGAACTGGGATTTCCACGAGGAACATCTACGGCTGCAACGTAAAATCCAAAACCCATGACAGCATTACAAAGGCGTATTGAACATGAATCTAACATCCATCACCGCAATGGGGTTCAGTTACCGTAGAGCGTAAAGTGCAAAGTGGTGACTTTTAGAATCAAACTTTGGACAAAAATGAGATGGTTTTACTTTTGAGCCCATTGCTATTTTACACTAAGGCAGAGAAAATTACTTTTTATAAAAGCGTAAATGATCATAACGTTCATTACCAATATAAATCGTTGCTAATAAATTAATTGAAGAATAAGCTCACTGTTTTCTAAGAACCACACAATCATAATATCGGATAAACAGTGGGGGGGTAGATTTGAACTAAATATAAGACAATACAAATGTGTTCATGTAAGCATTACATTATATTGATATAATGATATGTTAGTGGATGGACAATACGTTTGCATACAAGCTGGATTTAAGCAAATAACATCAAAATATTTAACAAGAACAATATGGTATTATTGTTCCAGCATGTGGTGCCCTCGGGTATTAAAATCACTTCACTCTAGCAGGGCATATTTCTAAGGGTCCTACAGATAGAAGTGCTTCACTTTCTATTTCCTCCACAAACGCTGTAAACCCATAACCGCGTGATCAAGTTCACGTACATCAAGCCACGCCCCTCCGCACTTGCGAAATGCTTAGCCCCGCCCCCTTATCGCATCCCGCTCGGTATTACTATGGGCGTTGATTTCCGGCAATTTTGCGTCTGGATTTGTTTTTTTCAATGTTCCACAGAGTCCGCGTGTTAATCGTGTGTGTTTGTTGTGTGTGCGCGCGCGCGTTTGTGGTCTTTTAACGGTCCCCGGTTTCGGGTGCTGTCACCGCCTCCCACCCCTCGTTCTCCTCCTCCTCCCCCCCCCCCCTTCCTCCCCGCGTCACTACATGCGAGTCACCGTCGCGGCTCCACGCATCGTTGGCCCGCAATGACCGAGAGCCCCGCAACGCAGCCGGCCGACGGGGACGTGTGTCAGCGGGCGAAGAACGGACTGAGGCCGGAGAGGAACGGCTCGGCGAAGAGCCTCCGCCGCGGCCATGAGCGGCGGGCCGAGCGCCCCCGCTGCCCCCCCGGGGAAGGAGAGGAGCAGGAGGCGGATGCGGAGGAGGAGGTGAGGCCCGGGGATGGGACCGGGGAGGAGAGAGACTGGTGTAGCCGGGGGGGGTCCGAACCCCCCCGGAAACACCGTGGACGATGCTGGCGTCACTGACTTCCATCAGCGCCCCGTTAGGAGGGCGGTTTGCCGCCATCGAGGCGTGCGTGATTCTCCAGTGGCGTGAACGCCAGATCCCGTGTGAAACACCCGAGATTGAGCGGTTCTCGCGTGTTCACGTTGTTATAGGCTCCCTCAAAACATGATTTAAACGCGTTTCACGAATTCTAACGAGACGCTGTCGGATTCGGCATAATCCTATTTAAACCAAATCACATTTGAAAATATTAAATGCTCAATTTAGTGAACGGGCTCATCATGGTCCCCACCGGACCCACGGGGGGGACAGCTTTCAAAAGTCTGGCATGTGAATTATAATAATATCATATGACTGCCGAATTTAAGTAGAGGAATATCTGTTAAACCCACATTGCTTCTTTGATTAAGATAGAGGAATGACAATAATCGATGAGCCAATGAGAGAGCCAATGACAATAATAACAACCTCAGTTCACAGTGTGTTATTGTCAGAGGGAGTGGCCTGTTTTTTGATGGAAACTAATTACAGTGTATTGGCTGCTCCTCTCAACCTCAATTAAACCATAAATATGTGTTATTTCTTTAAAGGCTTGATGCAAATTGTTGTCCGTTAACGTGTAGATGGTTACTCACTTCAGTTGTGAGTAACACCAGTGCAAGTCTTCAGATAAGGTTGTCCGTTGAGACCGCGTGCACGCTGGGTAAGAGCTTTTTTCCAAAGAGGCTAATGAAATTTCCACCCTTGGGTGTCAAGTCTGTAATTAAAAGCCCCCCCCCTGGGACAGTGTGATCAGATGCTGCCTCACACGGGCCCAGAGGCGCATGGAAAGGTTTTGATACTGATTTGATTAGAATGTTCATGATCAAAATGAAAAGAAAAGAAAAAGTTGTATTAAAAGTGTGAGGTACAATACCAGTTTTGAGAGTTTGAGGCACAAAACAATAGTCAGAGCCGCAGTGTTTTCAGCCTGGCTGCCCATGTGGAGGCATTAGAGAGAAACGCATGACTGGTCACATGCAGCGCCTCACGGCCATCGGCGCAGGAACGCACACACGTGATGGCAATTCATCCGCCTGCAGGTTTTTTTTTAAAGAGAAACCTCCTTTTTCTCTCACGGTCTGTCATGAACGCGCTCTGTTCGCGATCACGTCGAGACGCCACTCGGGTCGGCGTGCTCGCACCAACGTCAACACCACCGGGCCCTTCCCTTATTTGTCAGTCAAATCCTGGCGTTTGGCGCACGCTGTTTTTTTAATTTCCTGTACGGTTGGAGTACAGCTGCACCAGAGGCCTCCTTATGTTCCCCCTCGAGTGAACGTAAGTCACCTTCAGAGTGAGACGCAGAAACCTCAGCTGACTGGGCTGGACTTCATACGTTATTACGCAGCCACATCGCTTATATCGACTCAAAGTCTAAAAGTAATATGCACTGAATAATACGATTTACTGTTGACAACATCGGGCGTCATCTTCATTCACGGCCCAGGTCCTTTTTAATCAGCGTTTTTCCCGCTTTTCCAATGTCGCCCCAGGTCCCCGCGGCGCCGCGGCCCTTCGCCGAGTCCTTCGAGGAGACCCCCATGCTGGTGGCGGTGCTCACCTACATGGGCTACGGCGTGCTGACCGTCTTCGGCTACCTGCGCGACTTCCTCCGCCACTGGAAGATCGAGCGGTGCCACATCGGCCGGGAGAAGGAGGAGCAGACGGTGAGCGCGCTGAACGCCGCCTGTTTTGGTCGTTCTGAGGGGGCCCTGGCTCTGTGACCCCCTGACCCCCCCCACCGCAGAGTTTCCCCAAAGTGTATTTGCACCAGTCTTAAGTTTCGTTGGCGTCGCTCGGCGACTGCAGAGGAAGTCCACATCTCGGCGCCTGTTGTCGAAACGCGCCCTTGGCCCGCCAAGGTTGTTTTCAACCTGTTACGTGACCTTCGATAGCGCGGCCCATTGTTTGCGCGGTCACGTCGAGGAAAGGAAGCGGCTGAGATAAGCGCGGGGAAGTCATGGACTCGAGGATATGCCGCGCGTGCTTTCTCTAAGAAGGAACAGGAAATTCCTGAAATTGAATTCCCGAATGTCCTCATTTTCTTTCCTTCCAGCTTTGTCTGCTAAAGGCAAACGTGTTACTGGACCAAAACAACACCTGATAACATCGGCCTCCCTGCTCCCCCTCACATCGCTCTCTCTCTCTCTCCATCCACATGTAGGGTTTTGTGCCCCTCTACCAGGACTTTGAGAACTTCTACACCCGAAACCTCTACATACGCATAAGAGACAACTGGAACAGGCCCATATGCAGCGTCCCGGGGGCCAAAATGGACCTGATGGAGCGAACGTCCCGCGACTACAACTGGACCTTTGAGTGAGCGAGACATTTATTTCAACCGCCTCACAGCCTTCTGCGGGGCGAATACCGGACGGGTGACCTCTCCTGCTCCACGCCGGCCGTTACCAACGGGCCCTGTCCTTCTCCCTTGCAGTTACACGGGCCGGGTGGTGCGGGACGTGATCAACCTGGGCTCCTACAACTACCTGGGCTTCGCCGAGAACACGGGCCCGTGCGCCGACGCCGCGTCCGAGGTCGCCGCCAAGTACGGCGTCGGGGTGGCCAGCACCAGGCAGGAGATTGGTACAACCACACGGCAAAAACACGGGCCTTCCCACTCTCGCTATCACTTGGGCTGAGCAGCAGGAATGCAGCGGGGGGGGGGGAATAATGGACTGGTTTGTTTTGTGGAAACAACACGGTAGATTCTGTGTTAACAGCGCGGTGTGCAAATAACACAAAGCGTTTTAATACCCGGGCGCTCTTTGTCACGCCTTCTCAATAGAACCACCGCAATGGTGGTTTACCAAGCGCCGCGTTTGGAGGTCGTTTCCGGGAAGGTGACGGCGTGTGACTCCCGCCCCTCAGGTAACCTCGACCGGCACGAGGAAATGGAGAAGCTGGTGGCTGAGTTCCTGGGCGTGGAGTCGGCCATGGCGTTCGGGATGGGCTTCGCCACCAACTCCATGAACATACCGGCCCTGGCTGGCAAGGTAGGACCTGCGGGAGACGGGTGTGTCTTCTTCTCTTCCCCCTCCCCCCCCCTTTTCTTCACCCTCTCTCCTTTTTAGCTGTTTGTTGTAGTGTAGTAAAACAACAAAGACAAACCCTTTAGTAACACCATGACGGAGGCCTCCCTCGTGCCTCCTCTGGCCTCGCGCGTCAGGGTAAACCGCTTCCTGTTGGCGTGAGCTACTGGTGACTCGACCAGACGTCAGAGTGACAGAACAATACTGTTCTGTCCCGCTGCTGCTCTGCAGGTAGCCGCTTCGCCACGCTCCCTTCTTCCTCTTTTGTTAGTTGTGAAATGATGCAACGCTTTAAAATCAGAAGTAGTTGCCCAATCTCTTTCTTTTAAACCGCCAACAATGGAACCGACAAAGCAGCATTCTCCATTCAAATATCTATAGCCAAGAACTCTGCAGCCCGTATGTACTAAAGTGACTTGCTCGGTATTTGTGCCCCGCTACCTGCTGCCGCCGACGGATGTGCACTAATCCGATGAATGAATCCTGTGTAAATGTTGCCTGGTGTCCTGCAGGGCTGTCTGATTCTGAGTGATGAATTGAACCATGCCTCTCTGGTCCTGGGTACCAGACTCTCAGGGTCCACCATCAGAGTCTTCAAACACAACAGTGAGTCTGGGACTACAGAGACGTCCTCCTTCAAGTCTCCTAACCTGCACTCACAGGCACATTTTTATTATTATTACAACCTTGCTGCTTAATGCTGGATATGTATATTTTATGTATATATGCTGCTCCATGTATGTTTCATACTGCACATATACTCTTTATTTATATACATCGCATATATATACTCTGCACTTTATCTGCTTTCTTGCGCTTCTGGTTAGATGCTAAACTGCATATTGTTGCCTCAGTATCTGATAATAAAGTTGAATAAGCTTTCATCATGTTTTTGGTACATACTTCATTGATTGAATCTACCGAGTAATGATTTCCTCACTTATTCTTATAGATGCTGCATGTATGTACCTTGTGGTTCCTCTTCACACACCACTGGGGAGGTAGTTCTTCCTTCTACGTCTGTGGTTAAATCGAGTATCAAAATCTGAGGATTTGGAAACATAAACAATGAAGTGTTTGGTTCCCGGCTCCTCTTGGTATCGTTCATGCCGGCTCGCTGTCACACTAGAATGCAGCAGAAGAAAAGCCTTTGTTGACGTCGTTGGTGACGCTCGTGCTTTTCCTCTTCCAAGTCGGAATGTCAGCTGCTGAAGGCCACTGGCATCCAGCATACTTCACCTCATTCTCACGCAAACCCACATACAGCAAACGTCGTCACATTCTCTCGATTTCTTTCCTGCCAGACATGCAGAGCCTTGAGAAGCTGCTGAGAGAGGCCATAGTTCACGGGCAGCCCAGGACTCACAGACCATGGAAGAAGATCCTCATCGTGGTGGAAGGCATCTACAGGTAGCTTCCCCGTTTGCGTCACAAGCATGGGCGTAACCACGCATTCTTTGGGGGGGGTCGTGTCCCCCACCAATATTGATATATTGGTGAGAAATTAATGTGAAATTTAATGCAATTTAGTATTGCAAATAGACGGTCATTTTAAGTAAGTGGTCTTTCTTTTTCCATTGGAAGCGATCCTATTTGCTACAGTACTACTGGAAAAGCATAGTTGTAATTGGTAGGTGTGTTTAAGGTCAGTAAATAGTAAGCAACTCAGTCACTGTCACAGCGAAATTACACTATTCCTTTAGATGTGAATTTAAATGGTCAATGTGCTCCTCGAAACTATGTTTTAAATGTGCAAATTTTCATTTATAGATATAGATTTGTAGGCCATGCACTTAACAAAAAAAATAATATGGGGTTCATGTCTAAACCATGGTTACGCCCTTTTTCACAAGACGTATCTTTTAACAAAATCACTTTCAGGTATTTTGCAGTCACGGTTACGAAGGCTTAACAAAAGCAGTGGAACAAAAGCAGTTACCAGCTTCTTCCCTTAGCTGCACAAGCTGCGTCATTCTGCCGGACAGGCAAGCTGCAGGAAGCCGTCTGCAGCAACACTCTGCAAAGCAATTCTTGCACCATTACCACAAGTTAAACGCACTAATTGTGACGGGTGTCATTCAGGTGCCGCGTGCTCACCAGCTGACAGGTCTCAGCAGGTTTGCACTCGGCCCTCGGCTGAGGAACCGAGAGAACTTCCCTGAGCTCAGGTTACCCGGCTTGTAATGAAGCAAATGAACACATTTGCCCGACAGTAACTGTGACGCCTTCCGCTGTGCTCCCCCCCCCCCTTCCCTCCCCTGCAGCATGGAGGGCAGCGTGGTGCGCCTGCCCGAGGTCATTGCCCTGAAGAAGCGCTACCGGGCCTATCTTTACCTAGACGAGGCCCACAGCATCGGGGCCCTGGGGCCGAGAGGCAGAGGTGTGGTGGATTACTTCGGCCTGGACCCCTGCGATGTGGACGTCATGATGGGCACTTTCACCAAGAGCTTTGGCGCGGCGGGGGGATACATCGCAGGGAAAAGGGTGAGGACGCGGCCCGAGCGCTGAACCACTCGGATGGTTTTCCTGTTCAGGCCAAACTGTCACTCAGGCTCTGGGTGATGTGACAAAGGGCGAGGTGCGGTTAATGAGGGCACCAATCATCTCAGCAATGTGGATCGTCTACCTAGCAGAGCATTCCTGACCTATTAGCCCTGCAACCTGACATTGGAGGATCAAAACGGATGTCTCACCTTCAGGAAGCAAAGTGCTTCTCTGACGCCGTCCTGAGAAAGAAGAAAATGAGTCACATTCACCGGCTTCTCGTCACTTACTCCAGAATATGTTCCATCATCTTTTGAAACGCTAACAAACTGTTGATTCGTTGTTTTTTAATGCAAATACGGGGAATGAGGGTCACGCAGGGTCCTGAGCCCCCCCCCCCGGGTCTGACGGAGCGCTTGAAGCTTTTCATGCGCGATGTCTCCTCTTACATCTCCTGTGTATCTGCTGGCTTTAGGAGCTCATTGAGTACCTGCGTTCCCATTCACACAGTGCGGTCTACGCCACCTCCATGTCTCCTCCTGTGGTGGAGCAAATCATCACTTCCATGAAGTGCATTATGGGAGAGGATGGAACAAAAATAGGTAGGTGGTACAAGGATACGTATTTGAAAAAATTGCAAGCTCTGCGAAGGGGTTTTCTTTTTGAGATACTTTCCTACCTAATCATCTAAAATGACCATGAATGAGTGAATGCTAACTTAGCTTCTTAGCTGCTGTAATGGTCATCCGGCGCCACCAGGTGTCGGTGCACACTCATGAAATCAGAGACAGTAGTCTTATCTGAAGGCAGATATTGCGTTATATTATTGCAATGCTACTCCAGATACACCTCAGTCAACAGTTAGACCCTTTTGGCCATTGATTGACTAAATATACCAAATGATGATTTACTTTGAACGGTCAACTCCCGTTTGAATGTCTCCTCTCGTCGTCCCAAGGCCTTGAGCGCGTGCAGCAGCTGGCGGTGAACACGGTCTATTTCCGCAAGAGGCTTCGAGATATGGGCTTCATCATCTACGGCAACCAGGACTCCCCCGTGGTGCCCATGATGCTCTACATGCCGGCCAAGATAGGGTGAGCCTGGAGCTGCTGAGGGACGTGCGCTCGGTTACTGTTAGCTTCAGCCGTTTACACAGAGCGCCTAACAATGACTCAGGGATGTTGTGTGTCATTTCTGCCGTTTCCCCTCCGTCCCACCAGAGCGTTCGGCAGGGAGATGCTGAAGAGGAACATAGGGGTGGTGGTCGTCGGCTTCCCCGCCACGCCCATCATCGAGTCCCGGGCGCGCTTCTGCCTCTCGGCCGCCCACACGAGGGACGTGCTCGACCGGGTAACTGATGCAAACCCGACTGTGTGTTATCTGTGCGACCTTTGGGCAAAGAGGCGACAACGTGGTTAGAATAAGGAGATTGTTTAGCAGGCCGGCCGGATAGAAAGACCGAAAAAAAAGACTTTCTGCAAAGCAAGATGAGGGTATTAAAAGGATAGCCACACCTCACTGGTTCACCTGACGAACAACACACTGCGTGTGGTTTAAAATATCTAAATATATATAAACAGATTGTCTGTCCCGAGTCTCACTGGACAGAGGGACCACTTGCAGATACTAGTTCATATCACTTGCTTCTACAGCCCTCCTGTTATAAGCTGGTATAATATTTTTCAAGCCAAGCGGTCACGACCACTCTGCTGCGAGGGGCGGTCTAGTGGGCGGGGAAAACTGACAGAAGGGTGAGTTACAGGTGTGATCGGGGGGAAAGGGGGGGCTCGTGGCTCAGTGGAGCGGACGCTCGCTGGCGTATCGAGGGCCGTTATTCTCTCCCGTCCGTCTTTCTGCTCTTCAACACACAAGTGTGGAAAAAACGAGCGAGGACGGGGAGTTAGAGCATTGTAATGCTTTTACCCCCCCGTGATGTAAAAGTCTCTCTTTTGTTAAACGTCCTCTCCGTCTCCCCCTCCGGTACTTTGATGTGTCGTGTCGATTTTTGTGTCTCTTTTATCTGCTGCTGAGCTTTTGTAGTTTCAAAATTTCTTTTCTTTTGTCCTTCTTAAGACGTTTCATGTCACTGAACACATTAAAATCCAACACGCCGAATCGTACTAATCTTTACTGACTTGTTGAGCGCAAGACAAATATTTATTAATGTATCAAATATAAATGATTTAATACATGATGATATAAATGAGCCAGAAATGGACTCGTGGCCTCCTGTGCCGTAACAAATGTTCTTCTGGGTACTTAAACAGCATTAAAGTCAGCTTGTTCTACTTCAGCCCAGAGATATTCAAACTTACAAGACGGGGGGTTTTGTCCATAAGAAATATCGCTTGGTGCAGCTTCAAATTTCCCAGCCGCATGCTGCCCTCCGCCGTGACAGCTTTTCTTATTGTACGAATGTCTCCACAGGCGCTGAGTGTCATCAGCGAGGTGGGCGACCTGCTTCAGCTCAAGTATTTCCGACACAAAATCCAGCCAGCGCGGCCCGCCGCCCGCGACGCGTACGAGGACGTTGACAACTGAGAGGGGCCGCCGCTTTCCCAAAGCGAGCGCCGACCAGGACCGGGGACACGAGCGCAGCAAGGAGTTGTCCCTTGTCCCCTGCCTTAATCCGACATGCAGAACCTGTGGTGCACACAGTGAAAAAACCCACTTTAACCTTGTTATTTTTATACATTATTTTTATTTTTTTTATAATTTTGGGTCAAAGACTTTAAGTTGTTGTGTGTGTGCTTCTTGCATGTTAAGCTGTGTGTGTGTGTGTGTGTGTGTGTAAGAGAGAGAATGTCTTTGAACTGGTGAGCGAGGCGCTTGCTTCAACATGATGATGTCGTACTGGAAACAAGTGGCCAGATGTGCATTTTTTTTTTTTTTTTTTTTTTTTTACCAAATAAACAAATGCCATCCACTGTTTTTGATGCTAAGCTAATGCTAAGCCTGCTGGCCATAACTTTATATTTACCATCAATCGCCAGATCTAAATTTAAGCGAAGCAAATAAGTGTATTTCCCAGAAACACAAAATAATCTTTTTCTTCAGTCGTCATTCGGGGAAGCTCACACTGGCTCTCTGTCAGCTGTAAGTCGCCTTTATATATTCCAGCGTCAACATTTAAGTATATCATGTAAACAAAAGCTTAAACCCACAACTCCGAAATGTGAAATGAAATATTGTAAATTATAATAATTCAAATTTTTTGAAATGATAACTTCAGGACTAATAAATAGTTAGGAAAAAATGGAAATATCTACTCAAACTGATCCTCTGATTCTCACAGTTATGTTTCATGTCACTGACATCAGTATGATTGTATGCTTTTATTTTTATTGCTGCATATTTATACAGTTTTCATGTCACGGAAGAATTTAATATCACTTGATAATCTTACTATTTTGTTTTCAAATGTCCAGTTTATTGGTACCAGTTGGTCAGTTTAGTCCCTCTGAAGCAGTGCGACAAATAGATTATTTCACGTTACACACACTCGTCTTCGGCTTCGTGCTGCTGAGCTTCGGGGGGGGGGGGAAACAACGCTTAAATGAAGGGAGCTGTCCACAAAAGCTAAACGAAGGATATTCCACATGTAACTCCCGACAGGCATCGCGTGACCTCCCGCTCGTCCTGCTGATGCACCGCGAGAATGACGCTACGTCACATGTCGTCACGTGTAGAATGAGCCGTTGGAGCTCCAGAGGACGTTCCTTTGTGTCCGTCACTGTGCACGGGAGCTTCTTGTGTGGCTGACTTTCCTTCCGATGCAAAACGTGTCCAAACCTTTACATTTTGATATGAAAATAGAGTAAAACCCAGAGACCTTACGGGTTGACCGCCCCAATGATGCTTTTCTTAATGTGAATTATATCCCAGTACTCTCAAAATGATTGGTGCTAGATACAACTATATATATCTCAATATTTTGTGTAACGGTTCTATGGTCATTAAAAAGGAGCTATACGTAATATTTAGTTCACTAAACAATGGTTATCTTTTTAACAGCCCTCGAGTTCACCCTTAATGACGCCACTGGTTTAGTGCGAGCTACCACACAGAGATCATTCCTTTTCTGATATAGTGCCTTTTGAAGCAAACGTTTTTTCTAAGAGTTGCGTGTCATAACTTGGATTGTTCATCTTCTACGGTCTTATTAGACTTCTTTCACCACTTTGTCCTCAACACTGTTGATGAATTGCACTGGATGTGTCTTCTGTGTTGACTTATTCTCATGGATTTGATCATAGAAAACGCTTTATTTGCAACATATCTGCATATTATTGCTAACTAAAGTGTCACCTGTGTTGATGATATTGGCAGATTGTTAAAACAATAAAGAAACAAAGCAGATTCGAGCTGCCAACAAGACTCCTCCTCCTTCACACATGCTAATAAAAGCTTTTTTATGTGCGTGCCAGCTGGTTACGCAAGTTGGGCTCCACATTAGCGTAAGACCAAGGCTGACTTTCAAATGCTGTGTTCTGCTACAGGACATAAGAGTGGGGACAAGGACTTGCAAGGCGGTGAGAGTGTTGTGGAATATTTCAATAAAAGCTCGGTAGAAGAGAATGATTTGTCTGATAAAACATAGTCTTGATGGATGATCAAAGTTGCAAAAAGTCTATTTATTGCTTGCAAGCAGGAGGTCAAATACACCAGCACGTATCACGGTGCTCTGTGGAAATGGCGTCTCCGAGCACTAAAGACGCTGAGTTTTTATACACATGTGGAGGACATTCTCCGTGCCAGCTACAAGAAGCTGCAAAGCAGGTTGAGATAAGAACCCAGGTGAAGCTGAGGGTAGCACACACACACACACAAGATACTCCTCAGTGGCCGGTGCAAATCATAATTAATTGACATGAAAGTAAAACTTGGATCCAGAACTTTCGTAAAGAATAAGATATCAACCAAGGCCATGAACAGGAGTCCTTTGTTTTGAAGCTTCTATGAGATCGAGTCAACCGTCCTCCCTTCTCAGGGCACAGCTGCAAACCAACATTTTGTATCATGCTGCTCTTTGCACAACGGGGTCAAATACAGGACACTTGAGACACGGCTTTAGCACAAGACAATGTTCTAACATATTTTTACCATTACAAGAGACGCTCAACGACTACTCTACTGAGAAACTCAGCAAGTGACTCTGCTTAGGTTTGGAGAGCTCACAAACTACAAGTCCAAACCCCAAACCCCTGGCAGACGAGCTAAATGAGCTCCGCTGCAGATTTGATTGACAATGTCCTGACTCCATCCCCCACAGCTCCACCAACCTGCACGTAAAGCTGGGGAAACATGTCTCAGCCTCTCGGACCATCAGCACCGGTTCCCTCCAAAGACTGCGTTCTTTCCCCTCTGTTCTTCTCCCTGTACACCAACAGCTGCACCTCCAGCCACCAGTCCGTCAAGCTCCTGAAGTTTGCAGATGACACCACCCTCGTTGGTCTGATCTCTGGTGGGGACGAGTCCGCCTACAGGTGGGAGTCTGACCATCTGGTGTCGTGGTGCAGCCAGAACAACCTGGAGCTCAACGCTCTAAAGACAGTGGAGATGGTTGTGGATTCCAGGAAGAACGGAGCCCCACCTTCCCCCATCACCCTGTGTGACTGCCCCATCACTATTGTGGATTCCTTCCGTTTCCTGGGCTCCATCATCACCCAGGACCTCAAGTGGGAGCTGAACATCAGCTCCATCACCAAGAAGGCTCAGCAGAGGTTGTTTTTTCTGAGGCAGCTGAAGAAATTCAACCTGCCAAAGATGATGATTGTGCACTTTTACACGGCCACCATGGAGTCCATCCTCTGCTCCTCCATCACCGTCTGGTACGCTGCAGCCACAGCCAAGGACAAGGGCCGGCTGCAGCGTGTCATCCGCTCTGCAAAGAGGTTTGTTTGCTTCCAGGACCCTGAAGCGAGCTAGAAAGATGGTAGCCGACCCCTCTCACCCGGGACAACAACCTGTTTGTGCCCCTTCCATCTGGCAGGAGGCTGAGGTCCATCAGGACGAAGACCTCCCGCCACACCAACAGTGTCTTCCCTTCGGCAGTCGGGCTCACTGCTGGTGCACTTTATTTTTTACTTTTTAAACTTGTATTCCTTTATTATTAAACTAGCCCATATTACTAAACCATAGCATTATATTGTACTAAATTTTATTTCTCTTGCTATGTTGTCTTGTATTGTCGAACTGTCTGCTGTTACGCACCAACCACCAAGTCAAATTCCTTGGCATGTCTGACGTATTATGGTAATAAATGTTTCCTGATTCCTGATAAAACCCCCAAAGGAATGTAGGCGTGTAGGTGTGATCCATCTCTCTGTGGGAAACATCCCTCCGGACTGGCCCCAGGATTAAGGATTCAGGCCTCTCCAACCGTTTTCTAGCTGCTCCAGAGAAGTCCGGCTCCCCGAGTCTCCACTTCTGACCCAAGCAGCCCACCAAGAAGGAAAACTCCTTCTACCCCCTTGGACACAACTAGCGTCCTCACGCCGAGAAATTGGACTCCGGTCCGAGCCGTGTTGGTTACTCCCCCCCCCGCTCCCCCCCCGTCGACCGTTTGCGTCCACCCCCGACAAAATTCACTCCAAGTTGCCTTGAAAACTTGAGAGCCCCGTAAACAGCCCTCGTCACCCTCAGGCGATCGATAAACGAAACTCGAGGAAACCCGGAACGCCCCATCAGCGCACAGTAAGGCCGAGTCTGGGCGGAAGTTAGATCAGCATGTGTCACTATTTTTGATTTGTTGTGTAGAGTTAGAGCATATAGAGTTACCTACATACGGAGGTTTAACACGCGTGGTGTCCAAACACAGCCTCCCAGCTACACGGTTTGCCATGTGGTCCGTAGCTTAGCATCCAGCTAGCTGCTTCCTGAGCCCTCCCCTCCTTATCACACACATACACACACTCAATTATGAGACTTGATTTATAGTTTGGTTATCAGTCCCTTTAAGGGTGGGGCCCTGGTATTTCTTCATTTTGTAAATCATCTTAGCAATGATCTTAAGCGATTAATATTTCTATTGGTGTCAATGATTTCATTTCACACTAGTTATTAACCACCACATAACCCCTACGTCGCGCCCAACAAAATGGTGCCCTGCGTACGGCCGTTCCCAACACTCAGTAGAGTCACTTTATCACATAAACAACATGCATATATATATAACAGGTTTCACGAGCACTGTGGGTTCTTTACTGACTGGCAAACGTCAATCACATGTAACTTGTGCATCATGAATCATTTTCCACAGAGCTATTGTTGAATTGGTATCAACAAATCAATCAAAATCGTTGTGAAACAACATATTCACTTTTGGCAATACTACATTACTGTATCAATATATCAATGAGGATCCTGGATAATAAATTACAATCCAGGAACAAAGAGGAAGAATGGATTAAAAGGGCGTTAAGGCACAAAACAGGGACTCACAAACCAACAGGGCGACTCCTACAGCAAAGAGCAGTCTCTTTGCACAGCACAAAGTGGCTGGGTGCCATTTCAATGGACGTGGTTGGTAATCATCATTTGGTTACAGCTTCTACATGCAGAACGGGCCCCAGATTTTGAGTGTCCGGAGACGATAATATAGATCGTTCGATTTAGTTGGTGCCTCCCCATCTGGATGTTGCGCAACTGGATTTCTTCCTGCAGCCTGGCGTAAACATTGAAGCCAAAGTCTATCTGTCCTTCTCTCTGCTCCAGCAGCTCTTTCGCTCTCAACTCTCTTCGTTTTCTGCTTTTAGGTTTGCTGCTAAAATGGCAACAGCTGGTAAGGTAGGTACAAAATCCAAGAAGAGAGCATTTTAGTATGTACAACTTTGATTTAATTTATTTGGTATGTTATAGTGGTTTAAATGAAGTCAAGTATCTATAGGGAGAAAAACCAAATGTCAGAATACAATGCAAAGAGGATCAGTGATGAGTTTATATTCATAATGCAGAAGGGTAGAATGTACAAGCTGATTCCTGACATTGTGTTTCAGTGCCCTTGTGTACAGTTTGTTATGTCAAATCATCTTTGCACACACTTGTGTTTTTTTCACTCGGTTATTATTTTTTACGGCTCTTCCCCTCTAACGTGTTACATGTGCTTTTAGTTTGAAACTGTCCAGACAGAGATTTGTTCACTGTGGATTCTGGCGAAGATGAAGCCCGTGAACCAAAAAAAAGACCACAAAGGTCAACATTGGAATTCCATAACCTTCACGCAGTGTTTGCTTTTCCACAAGCAGCTTTTCAGGAAACCGCTATCTTTCGGAACAAATCGTACACCGAGGATTATGGAGCCAAATCAAGGCCAAAGGTTTTGATCATTTCAAAAACGACCTGAAACATTGAAAATTACAACAATGTATTCAAAATTTAAAGAAGTAGACAAACATGTTTTTAGGTTCCATATAGTTTTGACTCAGTTATATATATTTTTTATAAAATATATTTTTTAGATTCAAATCATATTTTCAAGTTTCAAATCTTTTTTCACTTTTGGATCTTTTTTTTTCCCTTCTCATTCACACTTTTGGCCCTGATGTGGCACAGGGGGCGGGGCATCAACTGTGAGGGGCGTGGCATCATGACTGACAGCTTAACAAAGCCTGGATTTGGCTCCATAGAGGATCATTTCATCGTCTTTGCAGAAACGCATTCTAAAATACTCATATTGTGTAACTGTGCAATGGTTCTGGGTCATTTGAGTCCCCCCCCCCTTCCACCCGTAGGTCATCAAGTGCAAGGCAGCAGTGGCCTGGGAGCCCAACAAGCCTCTGGTGATGGAGGAGATCGAGGTGGCCCCGCCCCAGGCCAACGAGGTCCGCATCAAGGTGAGAGACGTCCAATTGTTTATCGGCCTTAGAAGTAACCCCCCAGGTTCTCCTTTTAGATGGAAAGAAAGTCGATGTTTTCACTTTGTGGCGGTTTTGTCTCTGGGGCCTCAGATCGTGGCGACTGGAGTGTGCCACACGGACCTGTATCATCTGTTTGAGGGGATGCACAAAGACGGCTTCCCCGCAGTCCTCGGCCACGAGGGAGCCGGCGTCGTGGAGAGCGTCGGGACCGGAGTCTTGGAGTTCCAACCGGGTCGGTCAAAGCTCCGATTCCCGACCTGACGGATCGATGCATCTCACCTCTAATCCCAACAACCCTTTTTCCATCGGAATGGTTGTTTTGTTAGTTGACCTAAAGCTTCTCTGACATGGCTTTCCTGTATTTGACTTTCAGGAGACAAGGTCATCCCCCTGTTCATCCCCCAGTGCAGAGAATGTCGCTTCTGCATGAGTCCCAAAACCAACCAGTGTGTGAATGCCTGGTGAGCTCATCTTCTTCTCATCTCTTCATTTCATGAATCCAGGATGGGCTCAT